ACCAAATAAGAATTTAGTTATAAAACTAATTGAAAAGAATAAGCACATAACATCATCAAAAGAAATCTAGAGGACTGGGGTTGTGGCTCAGTGATAGGGTGCTTACCTAGCATGTGTGAGGCACTGGGTTTGATTCTCAGCACCACATATAGATAAATTAAAATAAAGGTCCATTGACAACTAAAAAATATTATTTTTTTTAAAAAAGAAAGAAATCTAGAAAGGAAGAATACTAGCCCTGTAGAAGGGCTGGATAAGCCCCATCATATTTTTTTAAAAATATTATGTTTTAGTTGTAGTTGGAGACAACACCTTTATTTTATTTTTATGTGGTGCCGAGGATTGAACACAGTGTCCCACATGTTCGAGGCGAATGCTCTACTGCTGAGCCACAACCCTAGCCCCAGCCTCTTCATATTTTAAAACATACTATTAAAGTAGTGAACATAGTGCTAGACTCAGTGTCTGAGAGGTGTCTTGAATGCCTGAGGTGAACCTTGAGTTTACAAGCATATCAAATCTTTAATAGAAGCTACTCCAAGGATCAAGGGGGAAGAAAGGATTCCACAATATATTGATAAACAATATTCAGAAACAAATCAGCTTTGAGCCTTATCTGAATCATACACCAAAATAACTATTGAGTGAAAGATTATTATATATGTACACATAAATATGACCATGAAATCCAGTGGCCAGTCTTATTAAACTTCTCAGGGAGATGACTGTTATTTACTTCTAAGCTAAGAATTTGAAAGGTTAAAATTTTTTATTTAGTTTTGTTTTTCTTTTACTGTACCTGTGATCAAATCCAGTCCCTTGTACATGCTAGACAAGTGCTCTACCACTGAGTTATTTCCCCAGTCCTCAAAGGGGTTGAACCTAGGGGCACTTAACCACTGAGCTATATCCCCAGCCCTTTTGATTATTTTATTTTGAGATAGGGTCTTGCTACATTGCTTAGGGCCTTGATAAGTTGCTGAGGCTGGCTTTGAACTTGTTTTATCCTCCTGAGTCACTGGGATTACAGGCGTACGCTACTGTGCCCAGCCAAAAAAGTATTTTTAATCTGTATGCTAACAAAATTCATGTAGCCAAGATAAAATTATAACTAGGAAAAATATTTACAGCAAGAATTAAGACAGGATTTTAATTTTTCTAGATGAAAAAGTTAACTTCAAATTGGATTGGACGTACTAGAAGCAAACCACAGGATTTATGTAGGTAATTCACAATAGAAGAATTATGACTGAAACGCTAATGTATGAAAAATGTTTATTCTCGGTAAGAAATGTGTATTTAGTGAGATTTAAATTGTTTTGGAAAATTAAAAAAAAACTTTTACTCATGTAGTTATAGATTGAGAAAATGTTTTGTGAAATGACTTTTGTGCTATATTATATAGACACAAAATGTTCAGTCCATTTGACTCAGCAACTTATCATATGATGGTTTGTTTTCTAGAACTAATTCTTAAAATAGAAGAGGTTATTTGCATAATGTGTTCATTATGGGGTTATTTATTGCAGTGAAAATCAACAAAAAATAAAACCCACCAAAGAAGGGGAATTACTGACTAAACTGGGATATCTGTTTAATTCTTACTGTATATGTGTGTGCATAGGTATGTGCTTTGGGGATCAAACTCAGGAAGTTACGCATACCCAGCCTTATTCCCATCTTTTAAAATGTTAACTGTTAGCCAGGTATAGTCATGCATGCCTATAATCAGTGACTTGGGAAGCTAAGGCAGGAGCATCACAAATTTAAGGCCAGCCTGAGCAACTTAGTGAGGCCCTGTCTTAAAATAAAAAATAAAAAGGGGTACGGATGTAGCTCAGTGATAGAGCACTCCTGGGTTTAATCCCCAGTACCAAAAAACAAAACAACAAAATATTGACTGTTAACATTATTAATAACAAGACAAATTACATATGTAGGCAGTGATAACTGTAAAAATAGAAAAAAAGATAAATACCAAGAGTATATAAAGAGATGGGAGAGTGGATGATTTAATCTTCATGCTTCTATACATTTGTAATGTATTACAGTACTTCTCTGGTGGGAATTTGGAGGCAGTGCATTTAATATGTGTGTATTTTTATTTCAAGGATGAAGTTGTTTATTTAATTTACTGTTCAATGTTCTAATTCAGACCGACTTGGCAGAATGAGTTGGGAAGAAGAACTTCTTTACCATCCTTTGAAACACTGGGCTGTGGGGATGAAGAGGACTCTGAAATGCAGGCGTCATACAGTGACAAGGAGTTGGGCAATGGCTGTGCCTGGAAAGAAGAGGGAGGTCATAGTGATGCTGTGTATGCTACATCACACAAAAATCAGGTGATTCCCATATTCCAAAGTAGGCCTAAACATTCTCTTTTCAATATTCTGCATTTGATTGCTCTGGGGCTTTTGTTTAATGTGTCCAGCCTTTTTTCTATCTGGTTAGGTTAAAATTTAAACCTCTTTTCTTTACCTTTTAAAGTTGAATCATTCAAAGACAAATGTAGATTTCTATGAGAAACTAGTAATTCTGCTCTTTCCTCTGACCTTGAAAGCTAATTCTCCTGTCACTTTTCTAGTTATCAGTGTGTACCTTGCAACCTTTCTTTAGATTCGCATCCAGTGAAAGGAACATTGTCATGATCTCAACAGTAGTGACCTTCTTTGCTGTTTACCATGTGTAGTGACATGCATTTTTCTTAGCTGACCTACCACTAACTCTGTGAGGAGTTCTGTTCATTGCCCTGTCTCACATTGGAGGGGACAAGGTACAGTGAGGTTGAAAGGGCCAACCGCTCTAATAATCCTGATTTATATTTGTTTTTTGTGATGCTGTGGATTGAACCAGGGCCTTGTGCATCTAATCCTGATGTTTAAACTGTGCTCCCAAGGTTTTGTAAAATGAATAGCACCATTTCTTTACTGGCAAAAGAGCACCATAATCTTTTTCCTGTTTTCTTTTGTCACCATCACACTGGCACATTGTTATAGTGACTGCACACGTAGACTCACAGCATCAAGCTATATTTATATTGTTCATATTAGTTATCTTACATTATATTGACACACATTCTAAATGGGCTTAGGGAACTTACTTCAAGGAATCCTTAGGTGAGTATTTCATGAACTAGCTTTCACTTTCCAACATATATAGACTTTGATATGCAGAAGTAGATTTCCATATAGTGAATATTACTGGAACCTGCAGATGCTGTTCAGAGCCCCAAGCTGTGCCATTGCAGGGTTCTAGAAGACTTAGATGAAGTTCATTGCTCTTTATCTACACATTTTCTGGCTAGTTCTTTGATACTGATGTTACAGACAGAGTTATATCACTTAACTACTCCAGCAGTGAAGTTTGCCACCACGTCTCCCTTAGAAGAAAGAAGTTATATGACTTATGCAGTCTTATTATTCAACGGACAAATAGTATATTTTTAGGCAAGTCTGTTATGGTGACTCTAGGACCCATGTGTAGCAAGAAATTTTATTTTTAAAATTTGATAAGTAGAAAATAATGTAATACATTAGTGTTTCCATTCTTCCCCTTCAGGTTTTTGTTTTGTTTGTTGATGTCGAGGATCAAATTCAGTGCCTTGCATATGCTAAGTGTGCACTCTAGCACTGAGCCATGCCCTCAAGACCCCCATTTTTTTTTTCTTATACTGGGGCCCAGGGGTGCTTTAACATTGATGCTATATCCCCAGCTCTTTTTATTTTTTATTTTGAGACAGGTTCTCCCTACTTTGCTGAGGCTGGCCTAGAACTACACTTCTCCTGCCTCAGCACCCCCTGAGTTGCTGGGATTATAGGTGTGTGCCAACACACCTGGTTTTTTTCTTTTCTTTATTTATTTAATAAAAGAAATAGAAGGTTACAGTCAGGGTTGAAATTGTCTTTGTCTCCCACCTCCACTCCCTGGAAACCCATCTCTTGGATTTGGAGTACATTCTAGAAGTCTATATGTTTTTACTCTTTTACCACACATAAGTGTAAGTGAACAATTATAATGCTATATTTTTTAATTATATAAGGTCATCTTATAGTACCAATTATTCTACCGCTTTGCTTTTTCATTGCATTGCAGTTTTGAGACTGATCCCTGTTGATTTATCTATTTACTAACCTATGGATGAACACTTAGGTTGTTTCCATGCACATATCTGATATGTGTACCTGTGTCTGCTGCATCAATTAGATATTGCCAAGTTAGATATTGCCAAGTTAGATATTGCCAAATTGTCCTAAAAGCAGCTTCTCTATTTTACCTTCCAACCAGCAGTGTGTGTGTATGCCAGTCTCCGTGTTCCTATGCATCCCAGCCAACAGGAAGTCTCTTCCCTGTACAACATAGGAACTAGAGTTTGAATAAGTGATATCCATCAAAAGGTCTCATCATAACCTGCACAGCAGCAACAAAAGGTGCCTTAAACCAGAAAGGGATTTCAATTTGCTACAGATATGCTAATTTTTTTCATGAGGAAGGTGAGGGGGGAAGAGGTTATGTTGACCTTTCCTGAGCTTTTGATATATGCAAGACAGTTTACATTTACTATCTTTGTTTGTTTGTTTCTTTTTACATGTGTCATTTATTTTCTATCCCTGAGTTAAGTATGTAAAGAAACAGAATAAATGACTTGCCCATGGTCATCCAACTCACCTGTGGCAGAGGCACAGGGTGACCAGTCTTCCCTGTTTACAGTTCAAATTTTTAGTATTCAGTACCACAGAATAATAAATAAAATAAATGCATTGTGAAAAAAATTTTTTAAAAAAGAAAATTGTATATTTATAGCCCTCATACTTATCAGAACTAATTCCACAACATAAAACTTCTTTTTGGAATTGACCAAGTATTTCTGAATTTATAATATGATTAAAATATATTCCCTTGGGTTGGGGATGTAGCTCAGTGGTAGAGTGTATACTTTTTTTTTTAAGTTGTCAATAGATCTTTATTTATATGTGGTGCTGAGGATTAAACCAAGGCCCTCACACATGCTAGACAAGCGCTCTACTACTGAGCCACGACTCCAGCCTTAGAGTATATTCTTATGCATGTGTGATGGCCTGGGTCCCAGCCCTAGCAACACAAAAATAAACAAACC